ACCTTTGATTGTGCACCAAACGTCTAATTTGGCACTTACGACCGAATTGAGTCTGGAAGCTGGTATGTCAAATTTGGTGAAGATCGGTTCAGATAAAGCTATAGCTCCCATATATATTTTTCAACCGATTTGTTATATTGGTTACCCACGGCCGTAATATGCACTCCGTAACAACGATATTCAGGGAAATATATCAAATACAGCTCAGAAATATCTTTGCCAAATTTTATCGAGATGGGTTCCGAGTTGGATATAGCTCCCACATATATTTTTATCCGATTTCAAAAGCTTCGGCATATTTAGTTGTTTAAACTTTAAATTATAAATATAATCAGATCGTATATGATTGAATTCTCCCATAAAAATTTTTAATTGTTATGCGGAGCTCTACTAAACAAGTAAGCAAAGGCTACAGTCGAGCGGGGCCGACCGTTGAATACCCTACAACACTATAATAAACCATACAGTTGATATAGGCGACATACTCGAAAGAATTCCACAAGATTTTGTGACAAATAATAAAAGAAAACCATCAGCTTCCGTTCTCTAATTTTCGAATAATAGCACTTTAACTAATTTGCTCATTTCCAATTTATTGGTAGATGTTGCACGTAAATGGTCTTCCTAGATCTGGAACCAATATTTCCCAAAAAATGAGAAACAGATATTTGACTATATTCTTCAACGAAATCAGCGTTAACGAAATAGTCAGAAGTGCGTCTTTCCTGTATTTGTGAATTCTCCAAAAAGTCACTGGAATCGACATTTTCGTATTTTGTCTACAAAAGTTGGCAAACTATTTCACACATGGAATATTTTGGGATGGCCCTCCAAAACTGCTTGGCTTTTGTAATGTCCGGTAACCCCCATTCAAATGTGCGTGAGGATCGGGCGACAATTTTGTAGTTTTTTAGTCCATTTCAACCCCTAAATATATGGCGATCATCTCCAAAAAAGAGTAGGCTTCTATTCTGACCCTCATCTTATCCCCATGCAAAATTTTGTAAGGATCGGGCCATAAATGCGATCTGTATATGATATCCTGATATCCTAACTACTTAGTTTTGATAGCTGTAGAAATATTACCAAATGTTTAATTCAAAATGAAAATATGCCAAAAATATGACAAAATTGAAAAAAATATGAGAAAATGTTAGAAAATCAATATTTTCATCTTAGAGAGATATTTTTATGCAATTTTTTTAGATGTTTTTTCTTTCCTGCCAAGATGCCATTCTAAACTAATGAGAACTTTCGAAATTAGTTCAGCCGTTCTCGACATATAAGAGATCTTTCAAGCATATCTTCTTTGATAGACATATATATCGCACATATTTTGCTATATATCCGTTTTGTTGGATGTTAACATCAATGTAAAGATCAGAAGTAACCTTGTCATCGCTTTGTGATTTCGCCGGGATTTAAAATATTCGCGGTTTAATGAAAAATTTTGAATTTTTCAACACAAAAGATATGGTCTATTTTACCCGCTAAATGTTATCCGATGACCACCCAAATTGGTAGGCTTCTTCCCCGCCCTAAACTCTAGATACATGCGAAATTCCGCGTCGATTGGTCTATAATTGCGACCTGTATAGCTACTGCAAAATCCGACATTTTTTCAGTATTTGGTCCATTTCAACCCCTAAACATTTGGCGATCATCTCCAAAAGAAATAGGGTTCTATTCTGACACCAGTCCCACCTCCATTCTAAATTTCGTGAAGATTGGGCCATAATTGCGACCTGTAGAGTGATTACAAATTAACATGGACAGACGGACAGACGGACGGACGGACATACATAGCTAGATCGACTCAGCTCGGCGAGCTAGGAAGATCCATATATACTTTCCTATGTGGGAAACCAATATTTCGAGGTGTTACATAATTTTTGGGCCAATCAAACTTATAATACCCCCAACACATAGTGTTGTAGGGTATAAAAACTGCAACAAAGTCAAACGCCATAATTTTTGAATTTTTTATACCCTACAACACTATGTGTTGGGGGTATTATACGTTTGATTGGGCCAGAATTTATGTAACACCTCGAAATATTGGTTTCCCATATAGAAAAGTATATATGGATCTTCCTAGCTCGCCGAGCTGAGTCGATCTAGCTATGTATGCCCGTCCGTCCGTCTGTCCATGTTAATTTGTAATCACTCTACAGGTCGCAATTATGGCCCGATCTTCACGAAATTTAGAATGGAGGTGGGGCTAAAGCCAGGATAGAACCCTATTTCTTTTGGAGATGATCGCATAATATTTAGGGGTTGAAATGGACCAAATACTGAAAAAATATCGGATTTTGCAGTAGCTATACAGGTCGCAATTATAGACCAATCGACGCGGAATTTCGTATGTAGCTAGAGTTTAGGGCGGGGAAGAAGCCTATCAATTATCGTCGGATAATATTTAGCGGGTAAAATAGACCATATCTTTTGTGTTGAAAAAATTCTACATTTTTCATTAAACCGCGAATATTTTAAATCCCGGCGAAATCACGAAGCCATGACAAGGTTACTTCTGACCTTTACATTAATGTTAACATCCAACAAATCGGATATATAGCAAAATATGTGCGATATATATGTCTATCAAAGAAGATATGCTTGAAAGATCCTTATATGTCGAGAACGGCTGAACTGATTTCGACAGTTATAATTAATTCAGAATGGCCTCTTGGCTGGAAACAAAAAACGTCTAAAAAATCGCATAAAAATATCTCTCTAAAGATGGAAATATTGATTTTGTAAAATTTTTTCATATTTTTTCAATTTTGTCATATTTTTGGCATATTTCCATTATGAATTAAACATTTGGTAATATTTCTACAGCTAAGAAAACTAAGTAGTTAGGATATCAGGATATCATATACTGATCGCATTTATGGCCCGATCCTTACGAAATTTTGCATGAGGATAAGATGAGGGTCAGAATAGAAGCCTACTCTTTTTGGAGATGATCGCCATATATTTAGGGGTTGAAATGGACCAAAAAACTGCAAAATTGTCAGCAGGTCATAATTATCGCCCGATCCTCACGAACATTTGAATGGGAGTTACCGGACATTGCAAAAGCCAAGCAGTTTTGGATGGCCATCCAAAAATATCCAACTTTTGTGGACAAAATACGAAAATGTCCATTCCAGTGACTTTTTGGAGAATTCACAAATGCAGGAAAGACGCACTTCTGACTATTTCGTTAACGCTGATATAGTTGAGGAATATAGTCAAATGTCTGTATCTCATGTAGATGCATTTCAGCCCAAAACCAATAATAAATGTTAATCTTTTGCCACTTCTGAGAGATTTGGGAAATATTGGTTCCAGATCTTGGAAGACCATTTACGTGCAACATCTACCAATGAATTGGAAATGAGCAAATTAGTTTAAGTTGCTATTATTCGAAAATTAGAGAACGAATCCTGATGTTTTTCTTTTATAATTTGTCACAATATCTTGTGGAATTCTTTCGAGTATCTCGCCTATATAAACAGTATCGTTTATTATATTGTTGTAGGGTATTCAACGGTCGGCCCCGCTCGACTGTAGCCTTTGCTTACTTGTTTAAATTGTATTAAATGAAAGCAAAAAAAGTCCGACAAAAACTAGCATCAAATAAGTTGTTTAGATTTGTTCGAATTGGTCACCTTTGGCACGAATTATGGCCAATGAAACAGTTGCATGCTGCCCAAGTGTTCCTCTGCGGTATTTTCGCCCATTCCCGGCGTAGCGCGTGCTTGAGGTGATCGATACTTTGGTGTTTTTAGTTCCAACCTTGCTTTCCAAATTACCCCAGACACAATAGTCCTACGGATTGGTATCCGGAGATTTTGGTGGCCATTGTGCGCTGGAAATGAAGCAAGGAACCTCATTTTGTAACCATTCTTGGTTGGCGCGTGCTTAGTGCGATGGTGCTGAGCCTTGTTGGAATGTCTAAGGTCTGCGGCCAAAATGTTCGCGTGTCCAAGGCTTTAATGCACCCTCCAGAATATTTTCGTGATAATATTCGGTATTTATTCTGATCGACCGTGAGGTCGATTAATACGAGCGGAGAGCGACCATTGGCTGTTATGGCGGCCCACACCATCACTAGGGCCGCGCTTGAGTTCTGGTGGCCAACCGAAGGTGCACATTTTCAGCTGACCTCTTTGGCAAGTAAACATGACCATTTTGTTTGTTTACAAACTGCTGGACAACGAATGTTTTCTCATCGGAGAAAACCAAATTCGGCAGTTCACCATTTTGGTCCAAGCGAAGCAACTCTTTAGCTCTTTTGAGTGTATTTTCTTTCTGTTGCGGTGTAAGTTCTTGCACATTTTGGAATTTCAATGGCTTTACGTCAAGCTCAGTTTTCAATATCTGCCGAATGGAATATTGCGATATGTTCAGCTCACGAGACAATTTTCGGTCACTGCCACACTGGTTTCGATCAAGTCGCTTCTTTTCTTTTCGAACCCTTTCTGCTGATGTTGATGTTTTCTTTCGTCCACTTCCTCGAGGTCGGGCTACGTCACCAGTATCACGGTAACGAGCGAGGGTACCAGACACAAAGGATTTGTTCACATTTAAATGCTAGAGTGCTCTAACCATAGCAACTTGTGATTTTCCAGCCAAATATAAAGAAATTACACTATCACGCTTGAATTCCATCATTTGGCATTAGGGTTGATTTAGGGTTGGGAGGTGGAAATTATGCATCCAATTTATAATTTGATATTAATAAATTGTGGTCATTCTATTTTGGATAAAAAAATTCTTTAAACATAAATTCAGTTAATATAAATACCTTATTCCGCATACGAAGTAGAGGGCACTTGCTAGTATGGTATAAATTTTTAATATTTACGGGATATAAAGATAAAATATTCTTTACAGGACGCATATCAATGAAATTCCTTCTACAATAAATTCTACAAACAAATCAACTTAAATTTGAAATATTTGTTTTTCTAATCCAATAAAAATACCACCCCTTGCTTTTTTATTTCCAGATCAATATCCTTGAACAACAGCAATAACAAAAGGGGGAACACAATAGAAATTGAATAGCATATCATCACAGGAATCTGACAACTCAAACTTGTATCTTAGACTTCATATCCGGTAAATCAGGATAAAAACGAAAGGACACACAGAAATCATGTGGAATTTTCAGAGAATCATTTGTATTTGGATATGTTGCGTGTCCTGTATGTTTGGTAGCACACAATTGTCATCGCTGGTTCAAGCAGGTATGTAGTTTATGCACACACACACACATATGTGTGGGTACAAATGTATGTGTGTATGTGAAGTGTTCACATGAATGCACAGCTTCTATGTGCGAAATGGAAAGCGAAACTTGTAACAATTTCGAAAAGAAAACATGGTTATTTTTTTTTTTGCTTTCCTCTCCATTTATCATTCTCCATTCATATGAGAGAACATATGAACACACTCCCACACATACATCTATACATTCATGTGTATGTGTAGTGTAGTAAAAGTAATTTATTTAAGTTACATTTAATAGAAACTAGAAATCATCGTCATTGTTGCGAGCACCATCAAATAGAACACACCGGCACACAAGTGTTCTGGATACCTACATTGTTTTCATTTTTATTTCTCATTTGTTCTTCTGCTTCTACTTGTTCATCATCTGATTCTTCGTTTCCTTACAGTTCCCTATGAATACTTTGATGATCATGACCAAAGTTTTTATGACTTGGATACGGAACAGATACAGGCGAAATATGATACACGTTTGCTATCACAGCAGATGTTGAAAACTTCAGATGCGGAGGAGCACCAATCACTTGAAAGCAAAAAGGGTTCCTCGCCTTTTAGTGCGGTGGATGGTTCGACAGCGAATGAGGAACGTATGGGTGGAGGAGGCGCTGGAGGTGCGTCTTTTGTTTTCGCTGGTAAACAACATACCGAGAGCTCACTAACCGATTCAGACATTTTAACTAAATTGAAAACTAATGATGCTAGCCAGAATGGTAACAACAACAACAACAATAGCAATAACAACAAGGACACCACAAGGATAGATGAAACAACGCCTGCAATTACGGAAAAACAAGAAATCCATTTGCCACGTGCGGCATCCTGTTACACAAATGGCCAAAAATACACTCACGGCCAAAAGGTAGGTTGGAAAAATATTTAGCAAAGCAACAAAAAAATTAAAAAGAAAAAATATTCTAAACATTTACACGTCCATTGCCAGCACTTTCATTAATTATCATTTCTTGGGAATTTTCAATTTTAAAAAATTTCATATTTTACTTTAAATTAAATTATTATTTTTATACCCTCCACCATACACAGTATGGAGGGTATATTAAGTTCGTCATTTCGTTTGTAACTCATCGAAATAATAATTTCAGACCCGACTGTGTATATATATTCTTGATCAGCTTAAAATTTTAAGACGATTTAGCCCTGGCCGTCCGTCCGTCTGTCCGTGTGTTGTAATTACACTACAGTCAAAACGAATTAAGATAGGAAGTTAACATTTTGCACAGGTCTGTCTTTTCTAAGATGGGCTATATCGGTCCATGTATAGCCCCCATATAACGGTACCCCCCGATATTCAGTATTTTGATGATTTTAGCCACATTTTGCAATGGAATTGTCTGAAATACTACACAAGGAGTTTCTTGTGGCTACTTTAACCCCTAGGAGGGAATTAGCTCAATTGGCCCAAGATATCGTATAGCACCCATATAACGCTATCAACAACATTGGGTATCTGGGATGGGATGTCTTTAGCCCCTTTTTCAATGGAATTGTCTGAAATTCTACACAATGAGTTCTTTGTGAGTACTTTACCTCCAGAAAGGCTATTGTCTATATAGGTCTGCGTATAGTCATATAACGGTATCCCCGATATTCGGTATTCTGATGATTTTTGTGACATTTTTCAACGGAATACCGAATATCGGGGGTAATTTCTATGTCAATTTAACTACGACCGTCCGTCTGTCTCTTCGTGTCAAATGTTGTAATGATAGTAATGGCTATCACGGCTATGTGTGGGTACCACGTCTATGTATAATCTTCGTATAACCTCCATATTACGGTATCTCCCTATATCCGGTATTTTAATGATCTTAGTGACATTATTATACGGAATTGTTTCAAATTTCGTGTTTGAAGTTCCTAATAGGCACTACAATCTTTGACAGAAAATTGTCTCTACTCCCATATATCGGTACCCTCCTACTAAAGTGAAAATATTTTATTCCCTCAGCCATATGGCTAGAGAGGTTACACAAGGTTAGATAAAAACAAGTAAGAAAGCTGTAAGTTCGGCCAGGTCGAACTTTTAAAACCCTCCACCATTTGGTACAAATTTGGCAATTTCCAAAAAATAAAATCCGTTAGAAATTCTGTTAAAATCTTAAAAATACCGAATGCTTATACGAAGACGTGGGTCTGCATAGGCAACTTTTGTCATAAATTATTACAATATTTAAATGCGAAACTTGAAGAAAAATCTGTTTATAATGTAGCTAAAATCATCAAAATACCGAATATGGGGGGTACCGTTATATGGGTACTATACGAAGACGTGGACCTGCACAGACAATTTTCTGGCATGGGCTGAAGTATCCATTACGAACTTCACATGCGAAATTTGAAACAATCCCTGTAAATAATGTCGCTAAAATCATCAAAATACCGAATATCGGGGGGTACCGTTATATGGGGGCTATATGAAGACGTGGACCTACATGGCTCATTTTTTGATTTAGGATGTAGTATCCATTACGAACTTCAAATGCCAAATTTGAAATAAATCCGGTGAATAATGTCGCTAAAATGATCAAAATACCGAATATCGGGGCGTACCGTTATATGGGGGCTACACGAAGACGTGGACCTGCACAGATAATTTTCTGTCTAAGGCTGTAGTATCCATTACGAACTTCAAATGCCAAATTTGAAATAATTCCGGTGAAAAATGTCGCTAAAATCATCAAAATACCGAATATCGGGAGGTACCGTTATATGGGGGCTACATGATAAATGGACCTACATGGCCCATTTACGAACTTAACCTGCCTACTGGGAAAATATACATGTGTGCAAAATTTTAGCCTTCTATCTCAATTTGTTCGAAAGATAGCGTGATTACAACAGACAGACAGACGGACAGACAGACAGACGGACAGACAGACAGACAGATAAGCGAACATGGCTAAATCGTCTTAGAATCTTACGCTGATCAAGAATATATATACTTTGTTGGGTCTGACATGAGAATTTCGAGGAGTTAGAAACGGAATGACAAAATTAATATACCCTCCATAGTATGGTGGAGGGTATAAAAACCGCACCCAACCTCAGACTTCTGTCATTTCTACAGGGTTGCCCATATTCGACGGACCCATGTTTGTGACTTGTCTTTATGGCTTGTTCGCAGGCAACATTCTTTGCGTCAATTGAATTTTGTACGGGAACAAATGCAAATCAATGCGAATAATCCGTTGTAAAATGGACCGAGCCATGCCCAACTGCTGAGAACGGCGTTTTTGGGATGTTCTTGGGGACCTCTCAACACTGGCTCGTACGGCAGCGATATTCTCTGCCCATCGCCTTGGTCGACTTTTATATGGCCTCTTCGGATTAGAAAGAGCCTTACCAGTCGAAAATTTTTCGTATAAACGCTTAATGGTGTTCTTAGAAGGCGCACTTCTCACATTTTTATACCCTCAGCCATATGGCTACAGAGGGTATATATCATTTGATACGGCCAAAACGTGCCTAGTCGAAATAACGGTTTTAGACCCTAGGTCTCTTTGGACCAAATCCGTTTCAGAACATTTGGAGTCGATCTAGCGATGTCCGTCCGTCCGTCCGTCCGTCTGTCTGTCTGTCTGTCTGTCTGGCTGGCTGGTGCGCACGATAACTCTCGAAGGGAGTATCCGATTTGGTCCAAATTGGCTACAACGTAATATTTTTGTCAAACTTAGATCGAGTTCGGAGATGGGCAATATCGGTCCACTCCTTCTGGTACCTCCCCCACAAAAGGTCGAAATTTTCAAAAAATATTTTTTTTTGCACAGGAAGAGAAAGGATAATCCGATTTTGCTCCAACTTTGCAAATCCTAATATCTGCGTCAGTGCTATGTCTGGTGTGAAAATGGACAACATCGGCCTACTCCTTCTGGTACCTCCCCCACAAAGGGTCAAAATTTTAAATAATTACAACTCTCATAAAGTGTGATGTAAGAGTCCGATTGTCTTCAAATTTCACACATCCCAATATTTATATTAACCCAAGGTCTGGTGTTAAGATAAACAATATCGGTCTACTCCTTCTGGTACCTCCCCCACAAAAGGTCGAAATGTTCAAAAAATATATTCTTTGCACAGAAAGAGAAAGGATAATCCGAATTTGGTCAAACTTTGCAAATCCTAATATTTGCGTCAGTGCTAGGGTAGGTGTGGAAATGGACAATATCGGTCCACTCCATCAAGTACCTCCCCCACAAATGGTCAAAATTTTGAATAATTACAACTCTCGTAAAATGTTATGTAAGAGTCCGACTGTCTTCAAATTTCACACATCCCAATATTTATATTAACCCAAGGTCTTGTGTTAAGATGAACAATATCGGCCTACTCCTTCTGGTACCTCCCCCACAAAAGGTCGAAATTTTCAAAAAAAAAAAAACAAATTTTTTGCACAGAAAGAGAAAGGCTAATCCGAATTTGCTCCGACTTTGCGAATCCTAATATTTGCGTAATTGCTAGGACAGGTGTGAAAATGGACAATATCGGTCCACTCCATCAAGTACCTCCCCCACAAAATATTGAAATTTTGAGTACCCATGAAGCTCATAAATCGCCAAATTAACATCCGATTCCATTTAGACTTGGCACATCTGTCGAAATATTTATATCATATTTTGAGTCCGATAGGAAATGGGCAATATTGGCCCATTCCTTCGGGATCTGCTCCATAGAGGGTCAAACGATAATCGAACATAGGCTGAGGGTATATCTCTGGCGGCAATACCGACTGATACTTTTTAACTTGTTTAATGTTTTAAAAGCACGTTGAGTTTTCACAATTGACTTCTTCTGTTGAATGTAAATTTCAACTATTTCAGAGCGCTCGCGTGGCGTGTATTGGTTCATGGTAAAAATTTTCTTGGTCTGACGCTTTAAACGCGGTATGTCATTAAGCGATGTGACATCTATGTCAAAAGTTATGGCGTTGCCAGATGGGTCCGTCGAATATGGGCAACCCTGTAAGCCACTCGTCCGACAGCTGTTAATTATTCCAGTGACAGCTCATTACATATTCCTTACAAGCAAACGTGTGATTTTTTGGTGAGAATTTTCCATAAAAAAATTATTCGTGATTGAATTCAAGCGCGATATTGTGATTTCTGGAAAACACAAGTGGCTATCGTAAGAGCACTCCAGCATTTAAATGTGAATAAATATTTTGTGTCTCGTACCATCGCTCGTTAAAGTGATACTGGTAGCGTAGCCCGACGTCAAAGAAGTGGACGGAAGAAAACAACAACATCAGCAGAAAAGGTTCGAAAAGTAAAAAAAAAAACGATTTGATCGAAACCCGCGTCGCAGTGGCCCAAATAAAGGCTCGTGTGCTGAACATATCGCAAAATTCCATTCGGCAAATGTTAAAAAATTAACTCGGGGTAAAGCCATTGAAATTCAAAAAAAGTACAAAACTTACACCGCAACAGAAAAAATAGACCCAATAGAGCTTCGCTTGGTCGAAAGTGGTGAACTGCCGAATTTGGTTTTCTCCGATAAGAAAACATTCGTTGTCCAGCAGTTTGCAAACAAACAAAATGAAAAGGTGCACCTTCGGTTAACCACCAGAACTCAAGCACCGGGTGTGGGCCGCCATAACAACCGATGTCGCTCTCCGCTCGTATTAATCGACCGTGGCATCAGAATTAATGCCGACTATTATGGCGAAAATATTCTGGATGGTGTATTAAAGCCTAGGGCACACAAATATTTTGGCGACGGGCCTTGGACATTCCAACAGGACTCCGCACGCGCCAGCTAAGAATGGTTACAAATTGGGATTCATTTCCAGCACACAATAGCCACCAAAATCTCCGGATACCAATTTGTTGGACTATTGTGCCTGGA